ATATATAATATAAAAAAAAAAGGGTACGTACGGAGCAAAAGTAACATTGCTTGTCGACTGACTGATGAAAGACCGATTATGCGACTGTGCGAAACTGTGCGAAACCGGAAACGTTTGCAGTCAAGTGCACACGCGTCGGGCGTCGGGCACGTGATGCGCGTGGTCACAGGGTGCGTCTGCATTGGACGCACGCAATCAATTTTGGGGGGGCTACGCAACCCCGTCAACAGGTTAATCCCTCCGCTATATGCCATACACGACGGCGATTCTTTCTTTCTTTCGTAACTCGCCGACACGTTTTACGTTTAAGGGGCATCGGGGGCGACCGAGCCGACAGTTTTTTTCCACGTCGAACCTCGACGTACCTATCGAAGCAAATCCGAAAAACATTCCTCTTGATTAATCCCGTATCATGGCGCGCATCGTTACCGTGTACGAGACGGGCGAGAAAAGTGATAAAATTTACGCCGAATTTTACGCCACGTTTGTGTGTACCGAATTTGTAACAAAATTAAAGTCCCAACTTCGAAGGACCGTCCCGGTTTTTAGCTCGGCTCTCGCTCGAGTTAATTATCTATCTACCGATGTTAGTCATCTCGAAGCGAGTTAAACTTGCGATTCCCGTAGGATGTTATGCATATTCCTCGCAAAATTAATCGCAACCTATCCCTCTTCACGACGCAATAACGTTCTAACGGTCTAACGAGTCACGTGAGATTGGCATTATTCTTGCGGACATTTAAGAGAAGCGGCAGAAGCGATTATCGTTTCTCTGGCGCTGCGCAACATTTTGCATAACGAGCATCGGCGGGATTATGTTTTTACTTACCACGTCCTTTTACGAGCCCTTCGCGACGACATTTTTTAGATTGTTTATCACGCGCGTTATCAGCGGATAATAAACATTATTATGTCCGCTTCGCTCGATAGTTCGGTTCGTAATTCCGACCGCGTTCAACGTCGCGACGCGGACGGACCGTTGACACGCTCTAATTATGTAATTTCTATGGAAACAGTTTCCATTTCCATAATGAGCTTGCGAATGAAATTATCGGTCGTTACACTAACCGAAGGACCAACCGGGATTTGCATCTCCGCCCCGGTCCGCAATAGTTCGAGAATGACGATTACACCGAATGTGCCTTTCTACGGCTTGTTAACACCGCCTCGCGATATCGATTACTAGACGAGTTTGTCCGGAATTTTCAGGCAATGAAAACCATGCTCCCGTGTTTCCCGTGTGGAATGTGTGCGTTTTCAGGAGGGAAACTAAGCTCATTGTTGAAAACGTCAATTAACCGATATAATGTTGCATGTATAATCACGGGTATGATCGAACGTTGTTCTATTGTTTTATTAAATAAAAAGTCAATAATATAATATATTCGAATCTCTCGACACGAATAAAATGAGCATTCAGCTTGTAGACTTGTAATAAAATAATACGTGCCCATTAAAACTTTGCGTTACTAAAATGTATTATTATGAAAGAAAGATAAAAATTCAGTGGTATATGTGAGCTTTCTTCAGTGGTATATGTGAGTTTTCGCTTTGCAGTTTTCGAGGGGAAAAAAACTTGACGCTACGAAAGGACTCTCTGTTATCTTGTTCGCGTACTTACGAGTTAAAAAAGAATCTCAAGCTGCCGAGAGAATTGCTATTTATCGTAATGAAAAACGTAGACATAAGGGAAATATATAAAAGAGAAAAACAACTACTCCTAATAAAAAGTACGATCCAGTGGAGTTATGAAATTAGGGAACATAATTTTCCTTTGCAAAGCGATAACGTCACGTTTCATGCGCGCGTGTGCAATTTTGCTGTTCGAAATTTCAAGTGACGTAACGAAATTTCAAGTGAAATTATCGTTATATTAACGTTATATTAACTATCAAACACCATAATGAACACGACAATGCATCACGAAAAATCAAAGGACAAACTAAAAATGATCGAAACAAAAATGCAAGTTTATAGAGAATCCGTCCGCTTGTTTGTCAGATACAGATTTAACAAATTTTTTTTACATTTTCCAAGTCATCGTATACAAAAAAAAAAAAAGAAATTATTCCGTTATTTCAAACGTTGGAGATTTAAACGATATGCTAATAAAATATACAGCTTTTACAAAAGAAATAAAAATTTTTGCAATTTTCGAACCTAAGTATATATCAACGTAATATAATTTACATGCAATAATTGCATCGTTCATATCATTATAGAAGGAAAAAAGTCGCGCGCTAATTTTTCATTACAACATTATGTATTTTCACGTTTTTAAAACATATAAAATTAGATATTTAGTGCGTGTGTTTAAGGTGAAGCGTTCCTTCGCGTTACTTAATTGGAATTAAAATATTATAATTGACAGACACACAGGCGTTCGAGAAGTATCAATTCACAGTGTTACACCTCTCGTGAATTATAACAAGCGTCCTTTCCAAGAAATTGACAGCTATTTCAAATTCCACATAGATGACACTTCAATGACATGTGGTTTTAAAAGCCTTCCATCCATTACATTAGTAATCACTCTGTAGTAGTAATTCCAGTTTCGCACAATGCACTGGCACAAACGCTGTCGACGATACTCGACGATTTTTCGAAAAATATAATACGAGTTTTCGTTCACAGGCTTGTGTTCGCAGAGAGATGTTTCGCGGAGACCATCCCGAAAAAGGAACACACAGGAGAGTTGTTCACGCGTGAGATCGCGGGACGATCGCCAGGGGAGGTAGGGTCGCGAATCGAAATTTCACGATCACATTCTCACGAGCCCTATCAAGAGCAAAGTCTTAGAGACTACGGGATAACGGGCACCAGAAGTTCTCCGCCTAAAGAAAAATGTTGCGGAGAGACGCGCACACCCTCGCGGCTCGCGTTCGCCCGCACGGAGCGGCTCTAACCCGCTGACTGCCGGAGTCGCCCCTTTTCCACCCGCCACGACCCGTCAGCCCCTAACCCGGAGGCTATCCCCCTGGTCCCCGCGCGGTCGACCTACCGTCATCCACCCACCCACCCACCCACCCACCCACCCGCTCATCCACCCAGCGCCAGCACCACCTGCCCTACTACCCACCATCACCTCTGCCGTCACCTTCGCGAAACCGCCGCTCTTCCCCCATCGCCGGCGTTTATTATCGTGATGTTGATCCCCGTTGGGTATGCGTCCCTTTGCCCGTGTATAGAAATCTTTCGGCATTTTCTTTCTTTCCCTTTTTCCCCCCCGTTTTCGCCCCGTATTTTCGTAGGGTAAGTAAATCCCGTGAATATCGGTTTCCGATGTCGCCATATGACACCAAAATTGAAGGATTACCAGTAAAAAGATTACCACATTTTTAATTCGAGAAAATTCGGGGAAATTCTGTTTGTATTAATTCGTTCTTTACTCGTAAGAATCACAGTGCAATAAACTGCTCGCGTATATAGATATAGTAAAATAATTTTCGGGAAATATCGAGATATCGAGATGAGTCAGATTAGATACGGAGAAAATATAGAAAACTTGGGGTTGCGCGCTCGCGTCAAATAGCAGAGAGCTATATCGTAGCACGAAAACGTGAAAATGTCGTTTCGAGCTCCCATTTCTCTCATCGGCCGAGTCGAAGGCTTTTCAGATCTTGAAGATCCTCCGACAGAAGGAACGGATAGAGCCGGCGTGGAAACGGAAGACCTCATCAGCCAATCTAATAACTTTTTACGCCTTATTACTCATCGTTGAGCTCAACCGAGTAGCGGTTGAAATGGGAAAATGCATGTAATACGTTTAACCGAGTATGAAGAGAACGACCGGCGTTTATATCGAAAGAAGAGATTTGAACAGCGTGGCACCTACATCTAATACGATGGAGAGAAGTGAATCCCTAAAACATTTAAAAGACAAGCACGTTTATTCGTTTGCACAAAAATAGCGCAGAAACAATCTGCTACACATGAAATTTTATAGATAGACATTATATCACTCAAATTTCGAATCGAGAAGATCGTCTCGTTTTTTGAATGAATTTAGAATCAAAATCTTACGCGAACACTTCGCGTCTTGTATAATTTAATATATAGTTGTATAATTTAATATATAATTTATAGAAATTGTAATAATAATAAATTTCTTTATCTTTTATGAATAAATTCTAAAAGTTTACTCTGTCTATCAAATTTAATTTTCCAATTTTCTTTTGATAATTTGCAAATAAAATAAAATATTAAAATTACAAGTATATGTTTAATATTATAATTTCATATACTTTAGATACTGCAAAATAATTTTCCTTTATTAAACACTGCAAGATACTTAATACTATATATTTATGTATACAGAAAGTTAAATAAAAATTTAAATGTATTGATACATATTCTTCTATTTTTCAATTTTTTTTCTGTTAAATTATAATGGTATTTAAGAGCTTTAAAAAATATATGGGC